GCTGCTGGCCTGGAACTCATGACCCTCCTGCCTTAGCCTTCCGAGTGCTGGGATTACAGATATGTGCAAGCACATCCAGAACAAAAGTTACTCTTTTCCTCTTTATGCTCTCAAAACACTGTGTGCTCTGGTGACGGCCCCTGGCAGTCTGCTCCACATCCACTTAGTGACTCTTTCTGTAGTCTGTGGGAACAGAGAAATAAGACTATCAAATTCCCCGCCCTGTGCCTTGGATATGAAGGCTCCAATCCACAACAGCAAGGCTATTTCCTTCCTCTCTTTGTTTTCTCTATAGATCCTGTTAATTATTTGGATTTTCCTTAAGTTGCTTTTCTGCCATGAGTTTGTTTAGATGTATTTAAAAAGAAGGAGAGAGAGAAGAAGGAAAAGGAAGGAACCAGTGGTCTCTCTGGTTAAGAATACATCCCAATTTTCCATCTGGGCATATGGACCTCAGAGGACCCTTCAGTAGTGAGAGTTACAAACTCCTAAATTCGCCAGGGGCACGTGCCCAGTTTACCTAATACATCTGCTACCAATACAGTACCTCCAGCCCTATTGGTTTCTTCACCACACCTTGCTGATTGCCTGTCCCGGCACCACATCTCTAGCTCAGAACACAGGAAGCGCCAATGTTTGTTGGCTTAACAAATGAATTTGACATTGCAATACAATTAGAACCTGGATCTAGGGCTTCTGTTTGTCTGGGCTTGCCCTTTCCTCCCCCCACTTAACCTATAGACTGAACCAACTCCTATAGTTCACTGGCCTTCCCAGGACCTGGGAAGATCCACAGCTGGCAGACTGTTTCTGAATGATGCAGTAGAACAGATACAGAATGTGGGATCAAGAAGGCTGTGTGAGAGCAGTTACAGACTGGGCTAGGTCTAAGCAGCCATCTTGGTTGCACTCAGTGTCAGAAAGTAGGAATAGCAGAGTAAAACAGGAGTGCTTTCACTCATCCCTACCTCCTGTCCTCTCTCCTGCTCTGCCCCCTCCCCCAGCTCCCCCACTGCAAGGGAAGGTCACGCCTGCCTGCCCAGGACTCACTCCACAGGCCTGGCATCCAACTTCCTGCTAGCCAGCTGCTTCCTCCTACCCCACCCCCACACTGTGAAACGAATGACACAAGCTGGACTTTAGACAGAAACCCTGCTTATCATGGAGTCCCAGGCAGATGAACACCGGAAAACCGCAATACACGTCCATTCACGCTGCTTCCCATGACCTCCTACAATACTGAAAAACTTCTTCCTCAATTACATTTGCAGTGGTCATCCAGGTTTTTCCTGAGCCTTTCAAGAGGAAGCAGGTTTGAGTTTAGAGATACCTACGGTCACGCCTCAAAGCTAACAGATGTGAAAAACAGCTCCATTATTTCCTAATCTGTCACATAGTATGCACCTTTCAGTCCATCTTCGGGTGGGGGGTAGTGTCAGCCATTTCTATGTCTGTAGAACTCCAGCTGACTGTGTGTAGGTAAGGTGAATCCTAACAGCCAAGGCCACAAGCCCTAAAACACCAGCATGAAAAGCCTCCAGGATACACTAAGTAAAATAAACAAGAGGCACGGCGTGCCTCTTTTTGTGTAAGAAAAAAGCAATATATATTTATATACACATGTATCTCTATAAGAAAACATTGGAAAGACAAATCAACTTAGGGTTATGGGGCGGGGACCAGAACAGGGACCTGTTTTGTTCCCGCTCCACCTCTTTCATACAATTTTGAATTTCAAATCCAGTCAACTATCCCATTCTAAATAAACAATTTTAAAAATCACAGCAGCTGTAGCCCAAACCAGAACTAGGCAAACCCTAACCACAAAGGAGCTAAAGAGAAACGTTGGGAGGTGAAAGCATTCCAGAGCCCAGAGGAACCTGCTAGAATCCCATTGCCACTCATTTCCTCCTTCCCAGCTGTTGCCACTCGCTATTAGTGACTCACCTAGCCACAGTTTTGAGGTGGTCAGCCCTTGATTAATAAGTTAGAAGTATCTAAATGGGCTTGAGTCAGAAACATCAGCAGGAAACATGGCAAAGACTGACCCAGAGGCTTTTGGAACTGAGGAGTTCCAGTAACTCAAGTAAAGAGGAGCAGAGAAGAAGACAGCATTCTAACCAGGGCTACACTTCCTCCTCTATGGTTACACCAAAGACACTCCATCCACTGGCCACTGCCTCTGTGAGAAGCACAAATTCCTCTTCTGCCTGGGAGACAGGTGAACTTCCCCCAAGTGCAGGTTCTAAGTTTCGGTTCACTATGAGTCACCAGTTTTACTCTTCCCAAGCCCAGTTTTCCCAGTTTGTCTCCCCCCCTCCACTACGTTCCTCAGGCTGGTGTTAGCCCTTTGCTTTGTTGTCCATGCTACCTTGCTCTTTATTCTTCCTTCCTGAAGGCAGAGTCCACTGGGAAGAACAACCCCGGAGGGAGAGGAGCACATGGGCAAACTATATATGCTTCAGACTAGGTACCCAAGAAAGAGCCCCTACTTTTTTTTTTTTTTTTTTTTTGGTTGTACTGAGGTTTGAACCCAGGGCCTCATGCTTGCTAGTTAGGCGCTCTACCACTTGAACCACTCCACCAGCTCTGTTTTGTGTTGGGTATTTTTAAGATAGGGTCTCTAAAACTATTTGTCCAGGCTGGCTTCAAACAGCAATCTTCCTGATCTCTTCATCCCCAAGTAGCTGGGACTAAAGACATGAGCCTGGTTAGGCCCCTACTTTGGACTCTTGTTATTTGGAATCTCTCTGCTTCCTTTGACCTACTCTACTGGGGACAACATTCTTTCATCCTCACAAAATCCAAAGGGGATAACACCTTCCAGATAGTAATGTAGCTGTTACCCTCATTGAGCCTCAGGACAAGTATTATTACTCCTGTTTTATAGATTAGAAAACGCAGCTACTAGCCTACAGTCACAAGGCAGAGAAGGGAGCAAAGCTAGAACCCAGGTGGGGTGGCCTGGCTCCCTTTCTATCCTCATTTGCACTAACCAAATCAAGTCTACCTACTAACCCCCAAGTCTATCTTGATTTAAAAGTTGCGAAGCCTTCTATACTCCAGATATGTTGCTTCCCAAGACCCACTGTCCTGCTAAGCTAATCCAAAATTACCTCAGGCTCCCCCTAAATCATGGTCACTTGGTTCCCTAAAACACCCTCAAGCTCAAAATAGTGCTATCGCCCATAATTCTTTCAGAACTAGTATGTGCTTATTGTAGTATTATCACAAATAATACAGGAAACTAGGGGAGAGAGAAAAGAAAGAAAGGCGGGAAGGGGATGCAAGGAAGCAGCTCTAGGAAGCTTATAAGCCTGACAATTACTGTCACTAGACTTAGCAGAAACTGTACAAGAACTGGCAGTCTTTAGTACTGGGTACCACACAGAGTGAAAACATGAGTGTGGATGTCAGTAGTATTTTCTAAGATCCAAGCAGAAGGGAAATAGGTGCGGGGTAGGAAAGGACGGGAACTGAAGAAAAAGGGAAATGGATAAGTAGAATGAAAGGGAGAAGTGAGATTGAAAAAAAAAAAAAAACCCAGTTGGAAAGTTTAGACAGTAGATTCTGAAGCAAATAGCTCTTCTGCTGAGGGGTGCCTGAGAAGCTGATTCAGACATAGAAAAAAGAAGTGAGTCAGGAGATTTTGGTTGGGTTCCCAGATTCCACCCTATTGTCGGTCTGGAAAAGTCATCCCCCTTCTTTAGACCTGTTTCCTTATCTGTAAAATAGAATTAGAACTGTCTGTGGTCCAGTCCACCCCAGGGGTTTTGTGTTTTTGTGTTAAGAGTCAAAGGAGTGGTCTACACACCCAGGATACAAAATATATTTCCACCTTTCAAAATCTGAGCAAAATGAATTGCATTTGTAAGACAGCAATATTGATTGTAATGGTTTGTTTCTTTTACACTTCCTAAACACAAACCTGTAAGGGAATCAGAGATTTACACAGAACACATTTTGACACAACTACCCACAGAAGTATGTGCATGAACACTTAAGAATCAGACATAGCATGTGCAGTACCACAAATTTAAAAAATTAAAAGGAAAAAAAATCAGACAGACAAATATACAGGTGCTGACACAGGTTGACAAAGGCATAAACCAACCAACTTACACACGCAGTCTCACATAAACACACCTAGAGACACAGGCAAGCCCCAGCAAGTAAGCCTCATTGTTCCTCAGGAAAGGGAGTTCACAAAGGAAACAAAAACTCTCATGCCCGGCCAGGGTGAGGGCACAGCTTTGGCTGGCAGGAGAATCCAGCCAACCAACAGACACATCCTCCCCCAGGGAATAGCCACTCAGTCAACAACATTTATTAAGGACTCCTAGATAGTTATTGAGAAAGGAATTTTGAATGCTGTGTTCCAAGAAATTTCAGATTTCAGTTTCATTCCTCTTCAGACTTTGCACTTAGTCACTTTTCCCAGAGAAACCTTGGCAACCCAAAGATTCAGACCCCTCCTGCAAAAGCCGGAGAAGAAGACTTTCACCCCTCCATTAGGTTTCCCCCAAGGGCCCTTAGGAGCCAAGAGTGTCAAGGGGCAAGAGGTCCCGGCTAGCTTCTCTTGATCTCGGATGTCCGAGGGTGCAGAATGGCCTCTCCCAGGTGCATTATAGAGGGGGATGGTTGGGAAGATGTATATGGGAAGAGTCCTCGCGCCCTCGCTCTCACCAGTTGTTGAGGACTGGGAAGAGTGGAACCAGCCATCCCAGCTATTTTTGGACTAAGTGTAAGTGTAAAGAAAGCTCCCAGTGTAAAGGGAAGAGTCACAAGTCACCTGTGTGGGGGAGGGGAAACAGCCACTCTCCAAAGTTGGGGGGAGGAGAAAGCAGAGGGACGAACCAGCGCTGGGGTGAAAGAGGACTAGGAGGGTGAGGCCAGTAGGTTTCCGAACTCCTCCCCTCCCGCGAGCGAGGAGAGTGAGAGCGCCTACCTCCAACCTCGGACCCGACCCACTTACTTCTCCAGAAACTCTGGGAACTTACATAGGATCACCGATGTGTAGAGAAACAACAGTTTCCTCCCGCCTTTCTCCTGTGTCCCCATAACGATTAGGATCCCGACAGGACAACCACGGCCAAAAGCCCCGAGAACAGATAGCCTCGCGACCCGCAGCGCCCAGACTAAACTCCAGCGGCCAGGGTGGGAGGGTGGAACAGTCAAAGGATGGAAGGGTGGAAGGCTGGAAGGGTGGGCCCCGCCCGACTCCTCCTTCCACGTCCGATTGGCCGGCGCCCCAGTCCTGCACATTCTGATTGGTGAAGACGGCCGCCATTCATCCGAGAGATTCACCGTGGCCAGGTGCAGCCCCGCCCGTTACTCCACGGGGTCGGATTGGCGCCTTTCCTTGCTCCAGGAACCTCTGATTGGCCCAGGAGACTGTCGCGTAAGGAAAGGAATTCCTCACCTTCGGCAGGTAAAGGCCCCTTAATTGAGTGGGTGGTGTTCCTGAAGTAGGGACATTCTGACTGGTTGGGTTCTAAATTGAAGCTGGAAACTAGAACGTTACCTCCGAGAAGGTAAGGAAGGGTAGTCGGACTGTGAGACCCAACATAGACTGACTTGGTTTGGGGGTTTTCTCATTGTTTTGTTTGAGTGTAAGTTGCTTTATGCTGCAGAAACTCTGGTCCCATCTCCGACAAGTGAAAAATACATACTAATATGGGAAGATGGAGGGAGAAGCCTGGGAGAGAAGTGGAAAGATGCCTTTGACACCATCCCAAACCGGGTTCCAATGTTCATCTCACTAACAACATTCACAGACTTTGATAGAGCTGCGGGAGAGAAGGAAAGAGGAAACAAAAGAGAAGGCAGCGCTCAAGTTCAAGTGGGGAAAAGCAGAATTGCATTATCTTAAGAACTTTAAATAGACATACACAAAACACACCCAGATAATAGAAACTGACGTACACCTGCTCTACAAACATCTCTGGGTGAGTGTGGCTATGCCCTTTACACATATTTGATCTGTCAGCAGAGCCAGGGCCGTACATAACAAAATTATTTTTCTTCTCACTGTGACTAATGGTTGGCTGCTAACTAAGCCTCTTTTTTCTATAAATTGTTGGCACCCATTCTTTCTGTTACTATTTATATTGTTAGATCATTTTAAATTGAAATCCCTGTTCATCATCTTTACTATTTGTAGTTCTTTATTTTACAATGATTTAATCTTTAACAATGCTAAGTATACCCAAGTTGCCTTGTGAAATAAACTTCCTATTGAGGTGAAAAGCCCACACGTTAGACAAAAGCATGGTTTGTTTTTCGTTTTGGTTTTTGACATTTTGCCTCTTACCTTCGTTAGATTACATACATCATTCCTTTGTCTATGTCTCAGGAGCCAAAAGTCTCCACTTCTGGTCTCACCCAATTTAAAGCAATGTTCTTCAAGCACCTACTGGGTGCTATAGGGAAATACAAAGAAATACAAACTACAATCCCTTACTGAAAAGTTTACAACCTACTTTCCAGAGGAATACAGGAAACAAAACAATATATAACACAAAGAGAAACTTTGTATTACTAAATTGAAACAAACATTTGGATGCCTGCCAAGTACAAAGGTCTGTTCTTTACCTTCAAATGAATTTAAAGTGTTGGGGAGAGGAACACATACAGAAGCTAGATAAAGAGTAGGGAAGAGAAGAGCTTGGAAAAGGATGTGGTTGTCAACAAAAACTTCAAGATGTAAAACCCTGCGGAGGGGCTTAAAGAAACTCTAGGGACTATTGGGGTGACTGAGGCTTGTTATCCCAGCTACTTGGGAGGTAGAGGTCACTAAGTCTGGAAGCTCCTGCCTGTGATCCCAGCCATGTGGGAGGCAGTAAGTATAAGGATCATCAGCACAAAGCCTACCCTGGGCAAAAAAACTTTATCTGAAAAATAAAACAAAAACAAAAAAAGGTTAGGGGTGTGGCTCAAGTTGTAGAGCCCTAGCAAAAAACAGGGTCCCAAGTTCAAACTCCAGTAGTGCCAAAAAAGGAAAAGAAAGAAACTCTAAGACTGGTCATAGATTTTTAGTAGGAGGAGTTATCTTGGAGATTATTTAGATCAACCTCTCACCCCACATAGGAAAACCCTATATGATAGTTTATACATACCCTGTTTAAACTAAAAATTCTCTAGGCAGAGCCTATAGCTTTTTTGGTTGGTTGGATAAGTTTTTGTTTGTTTTTGTTTTTTTTAAGACAGGGTCTTTTTTTTAAGGATTTATTTATTCAGGTGGTGCTGGGGTTTAAACTCACAGCTTCACACTTGCTAGGCAGGTGCTCTACTGCTTGAGCCACACCTTCAGCCCTAGACAGGGTCTTCCTATGAAGCCAGGGTGGCTTCAAACACACCCTCCAGTCTCAGCTTCCCAAGTGCAAGTACTTTGTATTACAGGCATGAACCACCACTCACCTCTGTGTATAAATTTTTTTTTTTTTTCAGTGCTGGCGATTGAACCCAGAATCTCACACATACTAAGCAAGCTCTCTACCACTGAACTACATCCCCAGACCTGGGGATGTAGTTCAAATATGCTTTTACCAAGCTGGAATCTGCCTCCTGGGACCTCCCAGTCATTGCTCTCTGAAGTTACACCAAATGTCTAATTATTCTTTTCCCCTGGCAGAGCCCTTCCTTTAAATATTTTAGGATACTTATTATGAACCTCCTAAGTGTTTCCTTCTCCAGGTTGAACATCTTTATATCCTTCAGATTGTCTTCACGTGACAGTTTCATGAACCATCTCCCCCAGTTAATCTCCCTCCTCTGGATAATCCCTTGTTTGTTCCTATACCAAGAATGGAACCAGGTACTGGAGAAAGCATCTGTCCATGGGATGTACAATGTCAATTCAGACAGAGTTCCCTGGTTCCTAGCTTCCCATCCTTGACCAGCTCACCTCTCTTTGAGATGTTCTGAATCCAGAAAATAGTTATGATGTTAGTAATGTTATTTACCTTACAGTAAAGTGAGGATTAAACTGTATACTACATGCAGTGTGCTTAGCACAGAACCTGACACATTTAAAGTACTGAAATGTTAGCTATCTTCACTGTTATTTACTGAGAATGCATTTGCAAATATAACAGTCATACTACATTATTGAGTTATATTTAGTTTACAGCAAACTAAAACTCGGAAGCCTTCCATTTTCATTTCTCTTGGGTCACTATTAAATTGAATCTCTCACACCCTACACCTGTACAATTTGGTTTTTTTAAATACATTTTGCATTTATCTTTATTCAATTTCATATTTTTGTTTTGAAGTGAAATATTAATCATGCACAAGTATACATGAAATAATGCTAATGATTCACATTAAATGGGAGGAGCCTTTGTTCCCATTTCTTGGATATGGGACAGAAGTATGTCTCCCTTTTATCCCTGTTTTCCCTACTTTTATCCTGTTATACTAAATTCCTTTTCTAATAAACTTTTTTGGGAGGACTGGGGTTTGAACTCAGGGCTTCACACTTGCAAAGCAGGCACTCTACCACTTGAGCTATGTCTTCAGTCCATTTTGCTCTGGTTATTTTCATTCATTCATTCATTCGTTTACAGTACTGGGGTTTGAACTCAGGGTCTACACCTTGAGCCATTCCACCAGCCCTTTTTTGTGATGGGTTTTTTTGAACTGTTTGCCCATGCTGGCTTTGAACCATGATCCTCCTGATCTCTGCCTCCTGAGTAGTTTCTGGCACCCAGTTGCTCTAGTTATTTTGGAGGTAGAATCTCATGAACTATCTCTTGAACCTTGATCCTCCCAAGTGACTAGGATTACAGGTGTGAGCCACTAGTGCCAGCTTCAGTAGAGATTTTATTAAGAGATTTTCTCAGCAAAGAAAAAGAACAGCAGCTAAACAGTATATTGGATGAATGCAGGATAAGTATTTTTAATTAGCATACCTTATTAGCACATGGGAGTTTCATTGCGATAATTCCATAGATGTGTACGGTATACATTAAACAATTTCATTCTATTATATTCCCTTAAAACCCCACCACCACCACTATTTCAAACAGTGTTTGGTGGGTTTCATTATGCTATCTTTGTGTGTGTACTTCCATTCTCTTCACCCTCCAGTACCTTTCTCCTTTCCCCCTCCTTTCTCCTGCTCATCCCTCACCAGATAGCCCCCACTTTTGTATTTTGTGTAGATGGAAATGCTTATATGCCAATGGCAATAATCTAGTAAAGAGGAAGGTATTAGTGATGTGTGAAAAAGAGAGGGTAATTGCAGTACCGATGCTAGTGGAAGAAGAGATGGGATCTTGCACTCTGGTTGAACTTTAAAAGAAAGCAGAGCATATGTCTGCCATAAGAAGGGGGAAATATGTAGTACAGTTGGTATAGTAGGAGATGAGGGAAATTCAGTATGATTTCTTCTGTTCTTAGCACTGGAGGGTGCAGAGGAAAGAGGAAGTTTAGGCGATCTGAAGAAGGGGAGAAGTAGAGGTTGAAAAGGAACTACAGTGGTAAGTGCCTACTAGATACTTTGGATATAAATTTGAAGACATGCCAGTCAAACCAGTGTGAACTTCATGCCAGCTGTTTGACTGCAGGAATAGAGTAGGTGGTTAGTTGGTTTTGACTTTAGTTGGGGGTTATCTAAGCAAGTGAAGGAGGATGCCAAAGAGGTGTGCAAGGAAATGACTCAACTGGGACTGTGGTTCAGAGGTAGACGATTTGCCTAGGAAGCCTGAGGCCCTGGGTTCAATCCTCAGTACTGAAAAAAGGAAGAAATTGGGAATGACTTTTTATGTATTCTCTCTCTGTCCTCCACAGATTCTTTGTTTACAGTGCTAGGGTTTGAACTCAGTACCTCACCCTTGCTAGGCAGGCACTCTACCACTTGAGTTACTTCACCGGTCCTTTTTGTGTTGGGTATTTTTGAGATAGGATCTCACTATTTGCCCAGATTGGCTTCAAACCTTGGCTCTTCTGATCTCTGCCTCCTAAGTAACTAGAATTGTAGGCATGAGCCAGCAGGGGCCTGGCTTCTTTTTGCTAATATAAGCATTACAAGTATATATCCATGTTACCTTACTTCTTTCTTACCCAAAAGGTAACATACTACATTTTTTTCAGCTAATAATGTGTTTGGAGATCTTGCATGAGAACACCAAGAACTTCCTCATTCTTTT